AATTAGGCAGTAGAGCAGGCTTAGTTTAATAAAAAGAAATCACGACTACCATAGGCCAAGAATTATTGCTTTTTATATTGAAGTCAAGTTTAAAAATGCCCAGCTAATTCAGCCTCTGAGATAAGTCAGAAGTTAAGGAGGTAACATAGGATTAAAAAGGTGAATTTATTGGCCAGTACGAGGTCTTCTCTTAGGAAATAATTTTAGATGGCTGTAATAAATATTGAATGTTAAATTTATACAGAAACCTTTATTCAAGGAAATATTTCTCTAGTACCAGTATATGTTACAATCTAGCAGGTTTCCAAAGGAACAAATGCACAATCTCTCATAATCACACTCTCTATTGGGCTGTCACTTAGCAACATACATTTACGGGATAGCATGGGTACAGTTCACATACAAGTGAGGCTTCCTATTATTGTCATAGCAAAGTTTCATATGTCGTGGTGTTATACCGCTCGCTTGGTCCCTAAGTTTGACACTGAATCCTGGTGAGCAGCTTCATAACAACTAGCTGCTTCTGACCCTTGATCTGTTCACATCTTTAAAACTTTTCTTTTATCAGAACCAATATAACCATGCTGACAGCAAGGACAAGTAAAGTTTTGTGAGAAACAATTATATTAAAAAAGAAGTCTCAACTGTATTTGAAAATATAATTTACGTAGTAAGTTTCTTAACTGAATTATATATATTCAAAGAAATGTAACAAATATATGTCGATGGTATATATATATATATAGATGGTATGCTAAGTGGGAGATATCAGTAGCATAGACGTCCTCTCAGACAGTTTTAAGATTTTATGAGGGTAATAATGAACAGACCCTTCGAACAAAAGAAAGCTTGTTCATACATAAGTTGAGGCCAGAGATTAACCAATTAAATTCTGCTTTAAAATTACTCTTGGTATCAAAATAAATATTTCCATGCTGTAAAAATATTTGCAAAGCTCGAAAACAGTTTATTTTTACAACTTTGGACTATTTACAATTAAACCACTGGAAAAACACTATGCTCGTTGTGATTTATTTCGTTCTGTAACAAGTCATTAATTTTGCTTCCACTTTACTGAGGGAAAGCCACCCAGTGGCACAGCAGTATAACTGGGTTTCGATACCCATGGTGGGAAGAGAACAGATAGCCCATTATATAGCTTTGTGCTTAACTTCAAACAACTAAATAAACTAAGGCCAAGTTACAAAATCTACTAATATTTCAATCTTGATAAAAGAGTTACCACAAAGGATCACATATAAAGTGTAATAAACTTAAAATAAGATCCAAAATTCGAGCGCTTTGGTTTGTTTGTTTTTGAATTTCGCGCAAAGCTACACGAGGGCTATCTGCGCTAGCCGTCCCTAATTTAGCAGTGTAAGACTAGAGAAGCTAGTCATCACCAACTCTTTTACCAACGAATAGTGGGATTGACCGTCACATTATAACGCCCCCACGGCTGAAATAGCGAGCGTGTTTGGTGTGACGGGGATTTGAACCCGCGACCCGCAGATTACGAGTCTAGCGCCCTAACCACCTGGCCATGCCGGGCATTATTTGAGTTATGTTTATTCTAAACTAACCAAAGTACTCGGCTTCTCTCGGGTTATTAGACTGGTATTTTATTGGTCGACTGTGTATATATGTTTATTTTAGATATGAGACACAGCCAAAAATATTTTCAAACATTTTGTTTCCCCAGAAACCTATAGAAGTCACCAATTTTATTGTATAATAAAAAAATCTTTGCTGTAAGTTAAGAATTATTAATTTACATCTTAATACTTTATCATTACCCTGAGAATTTCACATCACATTTTATCACAGTGTTTTGCAAATATTTTATCCTTGCAGTGCCTCAGAATAGACAATTATGGTTGTTTTCCTATCTGGTGCCAAGATGAAAATGTTTTTGTCATCACCAACCCTGGAGCAACCAACATAAAGTTGGCCATGAGACCAACAACATTGAGTGATTGCCCCTGCGCCCAGTTGATGCTCATGGTAAAGCTAAGTCGAACTGGGAACTAGAGCCGCTTGAATTGAAATGACAAGTCAGATGGCATATGTTTTTACCATTTTGTTCTTTTACAACAGTATTTGGCAGAAAACCTCCACATACTGTTCATTCAGTAAGTGAGAATTAGGAAAAAAAATATTATACTTTTCTATAGACCTTCGGGGAGCAGAATTATTGGGCTTAAAAAATACCCAGGTGCACACCCTAAGAATCCCCTTAGTATGCGTACAAAGTTTCAGGTCTCTAGGTTCTTTCCTCTTAGAGCTATGGTTGTCACACAAACAGACAGACTCTTTTATTATTATCATTGTTTATGAGTGAAAGAAATAAACACTCATTGGTTAGAGGTTATAAGTTATGTCGGCATCTCAAATAGTAAAGAAAAGGATTAATACAAATTCCACATAAATAAATTGTAGTTCTCGAAATAAAGTAATTTCGACTAAGCATAGACTTGATCAAACTCATACAACCAGGAATATTATTTACATCTTGCGCAAATTATATATCTAAATCTATTTCTTTTCGCTTGTCTCACAGGCTCGGAATTATATAATAATAATCACGCATGCGTTGTTAACGTGGAAACTGGTAAAGCTAATATTGTATCAGAAACACCATGGCTGTAAGTTGGGGTATTGGATATTTGTAAAATTAAGTAACACTATTACATACAAACAGGCTAATACATAAATCAGGTGCTCTATTCTAACAAATGTTTAAAAAATGATAATAAACTAAGTGTTAGTCGTTAGTAATAGGCCTATACGTATTTACCTTTTCAATAGATATACTAGTGGTAGTACTAAGGACAGAATGAGTAACTCAGTACCACTAAGTGAGAAAAAACGTATAGTGGTGTGAGCAGGTTACATGTGCAAATAAACATTTTTATGTATACGAATTTTAGAATTATTGTTATTATTATTAAACACAATTGTCAAATTACAAATTTTAAGTATTTCGTTAGACCGTGACTCGTGATGTACGTACGTCACAAGCTAATTGTTTAAAACTGTTAGACTAGCACATTACTATTACTAGAATACCCAACAACTTATATTAGTGTTGTTCATTTATGTTAACACTGGACATCTAACTCACAAGAAAATTTTTATTTAGCTTATAAAAAGTTATATTTGTGAAGAAACAAAAACTGTCATTTCTTCTTACTACAACATAACACAAAACGTGTAAGCATAAACATTTGTAATTTATAAGCCTATTTGAATATTACTATTTTATCAAACAAAATTTTAGGTTTTTTCTATGGATACTTATTTTAAAATATAAATGAAAATACTAAATCTTTCCATGATTATTAATTTGATCTTAAAGTGTTTGTAAAATGCTAGTTCCCACTTCTGCTGATGGCAACTCATTCCATAAGACAATTATCCTGTTTGAAAAATACAACTATCTTAATTGGTGCTTGGCTTGTCTTTTCCAGATATTATCTTGCTATCTTCAGAATACACTGAAAATTAATGACAGTGGTAGATAGCCTAAGTAGCTTTGCCATAACAAAGACAGGATGAGCAAATTTTCAATTACTTGGATAGTTAGAGCTATTGGAAACCTTTTTTATAAGTTGGTTATTTTCATGATAGTTGATAAAATTATAATTTCAATTAATATAATTTTGAAAGAATCAAAAACAATAATAATCAGAAGCAGTAATTTTAAATAATCAGTTAGTTTACCTGACACTAATCGATGTAATTGCTGCTCATATATAATCAATTAAATTATCCAACTGTAGTGGCAGTATGGTTCCAAAGCTTAACTTTCATAGTAGGTCTAACCAATATGATCAACATTCCATAAACAATTTCACACAAGTTGTTTTTAAAAGGAACAAAAATACATCAGGTAATAACTTATAGAAGTAAAAGATCTTTAAGGGTATAAGAACACTGAAAATAATAATGTTAGAAACACAATAAGAGCAAAGTCAGAATGACTGTGTAGAACAAAATGGCCAGTATTTTACCCAAGGAGGAATGTAGAGGATGGAAACATTGAAAGGCTGAAACTTTTTACTTGTATGATGTACTAAAATGTAACTTTTCTGTTAAAGTTAATTTGTGAGTAAAATTTGTGAAATGCATAAATTTGAACATTAAAAGGTGATTGAGAATGGGGTGTGTGTGCTGGATAAACTTGGTTGTGGGACTTGATGCAACCTGCCAGTTGGACTTACCATGCTGGTGTAGAATAATTTACCAGACTTTAACATCTACAATTTACAGATCATCTTGCATGCATTGTACAATAGTATTTATCAAAACTGGTTAACCAGTCTTAAAATTACATTTATTAGCCACTAGTCAGAATATTAAGTTATGAAAGCAAATTAGTATAAAACACTATAAATGAAAATAGCAGGATAAGTGTAGTAACACTACATATTGATCAGGACAGGATTAATACATTTTGTTACAAATTAAATTCTGCCACAATAGCCTTTTTTTTGTTAATTTACTAATTGTCACAAAGCTATTACACTGCTTGGGTATTAAAAATAAAGATATCACTAGTTAAAATTGGATTAATATTCTATTTTATTGAGTTATAATAACTTGTTTGTAATTTAAGTGATCCAGAATATGGTTTGAATATTCCCAACATGATAAATATTTAAACATCTAATTAGAACTGGGTAACATCATTTTGTAATTTCAAAATATTTTTCAGCAATCAAAACATTCTCTTTGGGTGTTCTATGTACACAATGTATAAGCAAGTAGTGAAGAGTAATTTGTTTATCTACATAGTTTTTTAAGCATATATTGTTGAAGAAACATTTATAAAAGGTGGCTGATTTGTGCATGCATGGACACACACACAGTGATCTAAATATTTTATGATTCCTTAATACTTACATTACTGATGCTACAATCATCTTAATACTGTTTGTTTATTAACACAGAAACTCATAGAAAAGTTTTACAAGTCAGTGTTGCAATTCCATATGAATGCTAACAAACTTTCACTTCTTTAAAAAATCAAAATAGGTGAATAATTTAGTATTGTAGAACAGAGCTAGAGAGTTGAGGATCAAATTAAATTTATCTTATGCTAGCTCCAGCATTGATATTAACTAAATCATTATTAATATTACTGGGAAGTTAAGAATATTGTAAGACTTGATTTGGTTAATAAGAGTAGTTGCATTAATTAGTATACCAATAAAAACAATTTAATATTTACAGTGTTTGATTTTAACATTTAATGCACAGATCTTGGAACATTATTTTTATGACTGTTATGCTTTTTCAAATTTGGCTCTGATCACTGACTTATTCACAGTTGTAAATATTTAGTTTCATTCTGCTGTGACCCAGTTTATTAAGTTAAAGCTTCTATAATTTTTCACCAAATGAACATATGGATAAAAAGAACTACATTTAGTAAATTTTGTTTTGGTACTTAAAGGGCTGACCTTAAAAGCTTGAGTACACATCTGTCATCTTGCTCATGTGAAAATTTCACCTTCCCTTACAATCTGTTGTGTATTCAAGTAAAAGTGAATTAACTTTAAAACAATGTGATAGATCCAGTTAATAACAGGAGATTTGGGCAAGATAAAGATTTTGAAGTAATGCAGTATCTCTTAGTAACTGTGTTATCAGAATGGGTGAAAGAGAGAGTCTGGATACAACGTGAAACCCAAAATAAACAATATTTATTAAATCACAATCACATTGCTTGTACTTGCTTTTCACATGGAAAAATTACTTCTAGTGAATCTTCTATATTCAACTGTTCAAGCTGAATAAATGTATCAAACTAACTAAATCTAGCATTTCTTAGTTTGCAAGAAACATCATATTTATCCAGAGCAATTACCACTACCAGAATGACTGATAATTCTCAAAGGTGAGATCATAACCTCCAGGTATCACCTGAACTACCATTGAAGGATGCTGCTGTCGACACTTATGCTGGGCAATCAACTTGACTAATCTAATTAATCAATTATCTATGAGCGTGTGTTATGTAAAATAATCGGTTAATTGAAATTATATTTAGATCAATTAATTTAATAAAAACAATCAATAATAAAAATTAGTGCTTTTGATTATTAATATTTCAACTATTGTAGTAATTGAAACAGTATGATTTCTCATTATTATTTTCAGTTAAGTAAAGGCTGTTCAGTTTAATCAATTAATGTCACAACTCAAGGATATAATTGACTAGTTTAAATTAGGGTTTCCGATTATCTCCATTTTTGATTTATCCAACTATCAAAGTTTTGTGAGAATTAACAATTAATTAAATTAATCTAATAATAAGCCAATAGTTACTGTATTTGCCCAACTATAATGAACACCCAATCTTGAAATGTTAAACTGAAGAAAATTTGTTTTTTTACACATAAGTTGTACAAAATGTATTGAATAGTTTCTAAATACAGTAAACAACTATCGATGTATTAAACATTTTTGGAAATCTTTCATTGACTATTTTTTTTTTTACATGTCAATTTTAAACAATTTATTGAAAAGTTTATACATGGTAATACACTAAGCTAATTATTTATCTTCACATAAATCTTCATCATTGCTAGAATTGTTACAACCGTTGGATTCATCGCACTTGCTTCCTTGAACCTTTGCTTCATCCTCTTCTGATTCTTACAGCATGTCATCATCCATCCCATCCATTGCATTGGATATGCAATATATTTTGAAATCTTTAATGATTTTTAGTGGTAGCTTCTAGTAAAATACCTAACAAAATTGAACGTGCACGAATATAATGTGCAGTCAAGAAAGTGCACATTATATTTGGACAAATGTGATAATCTTTTAGCAAATTCCACTAATTGCCTAGTTTTAAATTGGCATATGAAGTTATTTCTCTATGGAAAAGGATGTTACAACCACCAAAAGTTAACTTTAAAGTTCAAATGGATTTACATGTGTATAATTATTCCACTAACCCTATCATGACTGGCAAATACCTTTCAGGTGTCAAGCACATACCTGTATAACAAATTTGAAAATTTAACTAAAAATCATAATTTTAAGTCTTTTTAAACAGTTTTTAACTCAAACATTTTATAATTGAATTTTTGTAACATTGAAATTTTGCTGTGGGGCTTGTGACAAGCTATAATAGTGTATATACCACTGTGTATACAGTATAGTGTAGTATACCAAACTAATGTACTGGTCAAAGAGATGAAGTGTATCATGTAGATGTAGTTCACTACTTAGTATAATTTATATAGATTTGTAAGCCCAGTTAACTTGATACTGTAAGTACATTGTATGGTAAGCTAAGTAAAATAATAATGCTTGAATGCTACAAAAAAGAAACAGCTTGTTAGAAGAGTTAAAATCTTTGCAAATTCATTAAAAATTTGTTAATCAATCTTATAATCTGATTACATATATTTGGTGCCTTTTGTAGTCAGAAGTAGAAGAAACCCTCAAGAGGATTCAAACCCATAAAGGTGTTATTGGAATTATAATTGTCAACTCAGAAGGTGTGTATTTTAAGTAACTTACAGGGGTTCCTATTATTTGTTTTGCCATAAAAGTACTAGTATCAGTAATTATTGAAATTTAAGGTAACACTCATTAAGATGAAAAAATTATATCAAAGACTTTTTCATTTACAGAGGTAAAAGTTGTGAGATGTAGCTGTTGTATTTTCTTTATGATAAAATATTTATTAATTGTGGTAGTGCTTTTTTTTGTAGTGGTAGAATTGATCAAATGGTTTTTCATATTAATGACACACTGGTTAAAATGTTTGTACTTTTCCTGTAAATATTGATAAACTACTTGCTATAAATATTTGTATTAAGATTAGATTATTTAATATTTTGAGGTACTTTCTCTAGGTATTCCTATCAAAACAACATTGGATAACTCTACTACTGTCCAGTATGCTGGTCTCATCACTCAACTTGCTGATAAGGCCAGAAGTACTGTAAGGGACATTGACCCAACAAATGATCTCACCTTCTTACGTATTCGATCAAAAAAACATGAAATCATGGTAGCTCCAGGTTAGTTGTTAGATGTTATTTAGCAGGGAGTAATTTCTGGATTATTTGTTGTTGTAGGAAGAAACTTTCATATGAGGAAATTAAGACTTTTTCTTCTGCAAAAATGTGATATATATATTGAAAGCTCCACTATAATCATATTTTTGATTTCTGTAGATTGGTAGTGCTTTTACAGCTTTAACATTGCTCTCACAGCCAATCTAATTAAAAGCAATACATCATTTTTAACAAAGTCAATATATATATATATATACATATATAAAAACATACACTTTACTAAAAATATTCAAAAATTTTTAACCATGTAGTAAGATGATAAAAAAAAATTAATATAACAGCTTTTACAGTCATGAAATACAAAACCTTTGATATATATATAAACTAACTCAAGGTGGGTTTTCACTTCAAGCTGAATATATATAGGAAAACCCAAATTCTTTCTTTTATTTTTCCCCAAATGTTCTTTATTTAGCTGGTTTTCTAATTGAAAATAAATCTAAACCTTAAATTTATTACTTTTCAAAAAAGTGTTTAGTTGATTTCTGGTTTTTATAGCTTTTATACTGAAGAATAACCTGTGATGCTATAATGTTTTAATTTTATATTTTTTAAATTGTTCCCTCCTAATAACTAAACATTTTTATATCTGTAATACTATTTTTCTTAACGTATTGTAATGACAAAGAAGGAAGATTTTATTTTGAAAAATACTTTATTGACCATTTTAATGCAATTGAAAGCTGTTATGGGACAAGATGTTTAACAAATAAGGATCCCGAGGTTTTGATGTGTATTTTAGATGAACATTAAGTATACTGTGGATAAGAAAATTTAAGGTTATTCAACAAAGTAAGTAAAGTATTTTTCAAAAATATCTGTAGTCTGTAGAATTTGGGTAATGTATTATAGTTATTCTATTGTTAACATTAAAAATATTTTAATGTTGATGGTAATGTAAAGATTTTTTAATTAGGTTATGATTTGAAATGTTGATAATGAGGTAACTTATTCTATAATCTGAGTTTTAAAAAATCTTAAAAAGTTTGAAAAATATAAAATTAAATTTTTAATTGAAAACTATATATGTAGTGGATTAAAGTGTTTTAAAACAGTTTAAAAATTTTATTTTTGGTGTATTTATGTGTAAGATTTTTATTTATATTTTCCAGATAAAGAATACCTTTTGATTGTCATACAGAACCCTAGTGGGTGAAGAATTGTTCACTAAAATGATGGATAATATGTAACAACAATTCTTTTTAACTTGATTTAATTACAAAACAAGAAACAAAATTAATATAAAATTTTGATGCACTCATGATAACTATACTTTTAGGATTATTTTTTATGTGAGATACTATATTTTCCATCTAATATATTTGAAACAGTTTTGTTTATTAACTTTGAAAACATAAAAAATCCTAAATAAACCTGTGTTTAGTATCATTTATTGAATTTAAGTTATTACACATATGTAGCAAAAGTGATTGTAGCTATTAAAGTATAATTTTTAAACATTGTATTTTATATTGTAAATTGTTATATTCTTGCAGTACATGTGATAAATGGACTTTATCTTTGACTGTGAATTACCGTATTACTAATTAAGGACACATCAAATAGAAACTTAAATTCTAACCAACAAGTTAAAAGCAAAAAAGTGTATTGAAATTTCTGTTATAATAACAGAAAACAGCATTAGCTATTACCTGACATTCCTTTTGATATTTAATAATTGTTTGGAGTTTTAATGCTAATTCCATTTTTAACTTGTTTTAAAATGCATGTTAAACTCACCCAACTTTCACTCTGGTACTTCTCAGGACAACCCTAAGATACAACATTAATAAAAATACCTGTGATCATGGAGTGTAAGATGAAAGATGAAACTTCATGAATCAAATGTAAGGTACATCTTACTGAAAAATAAAGTTTGAAATGAATCTACTATCTGTGCATTTACATTGTATAGACTATATAAACTAGTAGTAAATAACATCACAACATTACATATTGTTTAAAGTTAGAAACTTTGCATGCAATTTACTAACAAAAATTTCAATTATAATTCAAAATATAGATATTTAAAGCAAGTTATGGATAAAAAAACTTAAGAAGAAATTACAAACCACCTTAATAAGTTAAGAATTAAGTCTAGCCAAGCATTTACCCGATTAGAGTCTGCTAGATTCTTAGTAGATTTTAACTGGTTTTCCTTTGAGTTTTTCAACCAATCAAATGGAGGGAAAGCTTGGGAAGAAAATTATTAAATTATTAATTTCAAATATAAAGTTGTAGTGGTTAAGCCAACAGCTGTTAAGGTACTTCAAATCAGTGTATATGTGACTCTATAAATCGGTATGTGTTTATATCCATCATTTATAAACTGCTAAATAGTTAAGATACAATTGAAATGTGTTTAAATGTGAATATTGTTTTATTCAGAGAATTACTTATTCTATTTGCACTTATTTTTTAAACTTTTGTTAGAAGAAATGGTAGTATGTGTGCTTCAGTGTATTTGTGTGAGTTATTGTATCAGTGTAATATATATATATATATATATATGGCTTAATTAAAGTATAATACAGGTAATCGTGTATAGAACTAACAGTACTCAAATTAACTTTAAAGTTATTTAATTCTCTGTGTTACAAGAATGGTATATTTTACACATCACATTTACTGATTTGGAATCCCAGATTTAAATATTGAAATAATCTATAGACATGCTCACAGTTAATGTTATAATAAATATCAAAATATGATTGATATTTTTAAACTTTAACTTTTGCAAATGAAATTACAAATTATCATCTGTCTGTAAGAAAATTGATGCTCAGACACTGTTTCGGTGATGTTTGGTAAAATTAAAGAATATACTAAAGTCCACATGCCCTAGCTGTCAATGTGCTCAGCCAGGATTGGACCAAATGGTATATTTATGTTTATCCTCTCATCTGACTTCTTCCTTTGATGATTTTGATCATTCATGCCACTCTGTGCTAGTAGGTTTCCCTCACAATACATTTACTTCATTAATATACCAGTTTTGGACCTTACTAACCTGTGAACTTTCATGGGTAAAGCAGAAAGGGATAGCTGCCCATCTCTGCCATCCATTCAATTGAATAAATCAGGGGCAGTCTGCTTTTTGTGGTAATCTATTGTAATGTCTCTGGTGTTGGTGTTCCTCTGAACTTTTCACCGCATCTTATCCCCATTGTTCTTCTAGTGGAGTATGGGTGTCCTTGCCACTTTCCAGTTTCAAGCCACTGGGGTGGTGGACTATGGAGGTATCCCCATGAATGTGATCACATAATACTGAACAAAAACTGTTCAGTAGAGAGTAGGGTGGTGGTGTTCTTCTTCTGGTGTAGATGGTGTGTGATCCTCCAATCGTGTGCTCCAACTCTGTATGGTGGGCTCCAATGGTTGATGTTGTTTTCAGCTTCTGTGTGGTTCTATCCAGAGGGTGTGGTTGCACATAATTAGTGAAGATGATCCTCTTCCATGTGGTAAGACCCAGAAGTTTGCAATGCACTCCAGTTCTGTATGGTCCTGTCCAAGGGATGATGTTGCAAATGTATACTCATAAATTCTTCACCTCTGTGTGGTGGGCTCCAGAAGTTGATGTTGCATGTGGCTTCTGTGCAGTTCTATGCAGAGGGCGAGATTGCTTATAATTTATGGGTGCAATCCACTTCTGTATGGTGGGACCCAGAGGGTGCTATGGTGCTCCAACTCTGTGTGGTGAGTCTTGGAGGTTGATGTTGTGCCCATCTTCTCCGCAGTTCTATCTGGAGGCTAAGTGGTTATATTTTTAATCGAAGGCCATCCACTTCCATGTGATGGGACCTGGAAGGTGGTATTGCACTCTGACTTCTGTGCGGTCCTTTCCAGAATATGTTATTGAATGTGGTGATGGTTCTCCTTCTTGCCCTCCACCTCAAGGGGTTTTGCAGCCTGAGGATGATGTTGAGCTGTAGGATGCCAGTCTGATTGAGTTTGGATTTAATGTAACCTGCCATTTGTGCACATCTCTTACTCCGTCATTCGGATTTTGGGGTTCTCCGATGTATGTTTCGTTGTGAATTTGCACACATATGCCCATTACGTAGATTGGTTTGCACAGTATATACTTCCATTCTACTGAATTTGAGGTGAAGATGGCATGGACCCTCCTCCTACCACAGATCAGAGGTTATATTCTCAATACCAATTGGTTTTGGTATGGAGTTGACCTGCTGAGTACAGTCCATCACACTTTAGCCACTCTACATCTTGGAGCATATCCATTTTAGCTTTCTCCCACATGTTTCTTCTATGGTCTTTCTTCGACAGTATTGAGATTATACTATACTGTGATTCTGATTCCAATCCCACTGTTTTTCTGCCTGTGTATGCGACACCTCTTTCCACACTGTATGCGTAGTATACCTAGTACAGAAATGTTGCAGTCTCCCATGTATGATCATCTACAATGGGGAACACAATTCTGTGGTGTTCTTTGGATGCTTTTGAAGGATGCTTATTTCTATCCCTTGCACCGGTCTCTCCACCTATTCATTGTGGGATTCTTGCTATATATGTGAGAAGAGGTAACGTACTGTATCAGAAATTATAATTTTCCTATACCAAAAATGTATTTCCAATAGGTACTTATCTACCCCCACACTTTCTCCCCACTGAAAGCTGGTGCTTCATTTTCTGTCTAAACTTGAAGTGATAGTTCAGTAGAATCAATTAGAGGGAGTCATGTGCATCAGGAGGGTGTATCACACTCCTATTGGTGGAGAGTTGTCACATGATAATTTACATGTGAGATACAGTTGAACCACAATGATCATGGTATAAGTACCTATCAGAAATACATTTTCAGTATAGGAAAATTATAACTTCTGCTGTTAGTTGCTGTAGACGAAACAGTTTCTGGTTATTGTTCTAGGGAGATTCATACTAATGTATGTGATTGAGTGTCTCAGAAATTATCCTGTTTTATCTTCACGTGGCTTCTTCAGCTTAAAGAATGGACATAGATATTGCTACATTATCTTATGTTCAGCAAATATTTTTCGCTGTAAAAACCACTTATACACAAAGAAGCAGAAACTATTCACTAACCAAAGCTGAGGTGAAACAGATGAAGGATAACATCCAAGAATGATACTAGCAACTTGTCATCCCACCTTGTAACATGGAAAATGCTATGGACAAAATCAGCGTGCATGAAGTGTGCTTTTGCTGTTGCTTGGATCGTCATTTGAAAAGCCTGCTGTACTGCCCATCTGAGTGCCCAAAGGAAAAAAAATTCACACAAACCTCAATTCAGAGAGCAATTTCAAAGTAGTGGTCTTGATGTGTGATTGTTGAACATTTCAGACAACATTGGATTAAAGATTCTAATTTTCAAAGACATGTTATTGTAAATGTGTAAAAAAGTCCCAAATAAATATATTAAAGTAGACAGGCACTGCTTTTAATCGTGACGTAAAACTCATTTAATGAACTACTTTTTGCATGACACAAGGCCACAGAGGCTGCCATATTGACTGGAGGTCATCAGTGTTCAGTGGCATGCTGTGAACATGTCTGAGTTTAGGCAATGAAATTGTTTTGTTGTCAACATTTGGCAAATGGACAAATTGACTTTTAGGTTAAGAGTGAAATACAAACAGGGCCAAAACGAAAATAACTATGCAAAGTATAATTACTTCCAATTAATTTTATTTTCTTGACATGTTAATATACATAATTTTAATTTTTAAATATTAAAATATTATTTACATTTTATTATCTAGCACAAAATTTAAATACTATTTTACTCTTTCCTGTAAGTTAAACAAGAGTGATTATTATATGATTCTAGTCATACTATTATGTGCAAGACTTTTAAGAGTCTAAAAAGTTTATTAATTGTCAGTTTATTTATTCATCAAATTAATGTACCAGACATTATATTTGCCTCCTAACCTTACTCTTGTCTAGAAATATGACTGCAGATTCACTTGATATAAAAACAGTACAATCCAGTTAATACAAATTACATTTTGTTCAGTTTTGTAAACAAAGAATCAAAATATAGCATCACCCAACTAACAGCTTCCATGGACTGCTTGGTGAGGGCTGTTTACAGCCCACATACATTTTTCAAATATGAAAGACTGATTACCAAGAGAAAGGTCTGAGTGATGAGGAAGTTAAGTTAGCATGTGACCTCAAACTAGTGTAAAAACTTTGCATTTTGAAGTTCTATTCACTGGTCAGAATGCACAACTGCACAATATTTTTGGCTTTTTCATAAACGTTTTCACGATCTTACTCTGAAATAAGTACTGTTGTGGGATTTGCTTTCAATCACCAATCAGTCTTAGTTTGTAAATCCAAATCAGTGGTACGTTGTGTTAGGGTTAAAGATATTCCACAGTGCAATTTTTCAAATTCAAAAAAAGTGCTAAGAGCACTTTGGACACATTTTCGCACCAGAAAGATGACAAAATGAAATGGAACTGAGATACGAAAAGTACATAATTATCTACATGCACATGTAAACTTTTACAGAACACCTCAAACAACTTACGTTTATCATTTTCAAAGTTGTTCTGCAAAAGTGATCTGACTCACATAGGTCATTTTTGCATAACTGAAATCCCTAATAGCATGAGTGTGTGGGTTATAACTTTTTTATCTATAGCAGCTATGTAAAGGGATTGGGTTTAGGTAATATTTCACAAGAAAGACTAACACTTTGGTATTTTGTGGGTTAGGTCACTTTTGCACCATTCAATTATTCAACAGAGAAGCTATTCACCTACTAAATAAATATGAAGTCCAAGCCATCATTCAATTCACCACTTGTCACTGAGTTATATATGTATAAATATTAGTTCACTGTAGTGAGTAAAAGACAAAAAAAAAAAACACCATACATAAAATACATAATTCAACATTATAAGAAGCCTTGTTTATTTGCTATTGTACAGGTTTACTGATGAAGGGTGGAAAACCAGTGACAAATGGTGAATGGCGTCATGTTTATTCTTATAACCATACATTGATCTTTAACCATATCAGAGATTTCATGTAAATTATTAAATATTATTCATTTCAACTGTTATTATTCATTCACCCTTACTTTTATATATCACTACAATTTAAAATTTCCACTTCAGGTGAAACAATTGAAGAAACTGTCCAGAAAAGAATATTTGTTTTGTTTAGTGTTGCTTTCTGCAATGAAATACCAGACTTGTTTTTGCTTTTGCAATTGATCCACTAATTTTATTTTCTTGTACACAGTAGCTGTATTGATAATAATTACAGATTGGGAATCTCCTCTGATCGTACTTGTTTCTTAGCAAGCTTCTTCAGTCCTGGTAAAATAGTAGACTGAATTGTACTGTTACTAGGTGAATTATTCATAAATCTTGTGAAGTTTGAAACATCCCTTACATGGTTGTTGTCATACATAAATTATTTAATGTAGGCTGCTCTAAGGTACACCTTAGGTAGGATTTAAAGTAAGAAACGGATTGTAAAAGATGTTTTTTTATTTATAATTAATGCATTACAAGAGGTTAAGATGTAGGCATTCATTTGTCCAACAGTGTGAAAATACTTCCACTTTTCAAAAATTTAACGTTAATTTCATTGGCTCAGTGGTTACAACCTGGAATGCCATCTGCGATAAAATATGGAATATAATTTATTTGGTCTTCACCTATAACCACTACTACTGTGTCACCTATTACTAAAGGACCTTCCTGGACTACTCCAGTCACGACACTACCAAATCAAGTTCTGGAATTTAGCTAGCCAATTCAATATGATGGGAAGATACCATGGAATCATACTAGACTCACTTGTAAATCATTTCTAGAATAAATGGGTGAAGAAGTAAAAACAAGCCATTCATCGTGCTGCCCATTTAAAAGAATCAGCACTGACAACATTAAGTAACCTTTCATCCGAGAGCTATAACAACTGTCAAGCCTGATTAAACAGGTTTTGAGCATCACACCGTAACGAGGTATACCAGAGTTTAGTGATAAGAACTCATTCCATTGATATTGTTACGTCTCCGTTTGTTAATTGATTTCCCGTAAATTCGTTCCGACGAAACTTCAGCGACACAAGTCCTTTCTTAAATAAAACTGGTTTATTCTTTCCGAATACAACTTTACGATATACATAATTTCAACAATCGCGCTAAAACAAACGCTATAACAACGAACGTTAACTTCAACAATACTCTCTGACTGCAGATCAATTACTCACTACCTACACATTGTCCCATCACGTTGTGACCATCTTATATATACCAGACTACCCCAATCTAATAATCTCCCGAAGGTTCGAGAAAGAAGTGGCGTGATACTAGTCACGTGACCTCGCTGACGCAACAGTATATATATACAATCTGGATTGTTTTTGCTACAGAAGGTTGTATGTTGTTGTCAGTAGCTTCACGTACTGCTGTATAATAACTTCAGTGACAGTGGAAGATTTTAATCCCATGTTTTCTTATATTTATCTACATACATAGTTAATTGACTTATCAGTGTGTAGTTGTATATATCCACCATGCCATAAGTAGATGGTTGAAGTGCTGTTGCCCTGGTCTTTTTTAATCCCAAGGATCTGACACATTTTTTCAAGAAAGATCTGATTCAAAGTTTCTTCCTTGATTTGAGTGAAGTTGCAAGGACTCATCAAGCTAATTAACTAGTTTATTTTTCATGGTTAGGAACAGCATATAATTCTGATCATTTGATAAAATAGTCCATCACAAGAATGGTGTATCTTTCTATTGTTACTCTAAGGAAGAAGGAGCACATCAGCAGAAATTATCTCCCATGGTGCTCCAACACAGTATTACTGTAGCCGCCTATGTTATTTCTTTCATGGATTTCACAATGTTGCGTCATCGAGATCATGTGATTCTCACGCTCTCTACTTTCTAG